TAAAACACATATCATTTTATAGCTAAGGTGTTTATCTGTAGAATGGCATATCTCTCAGCTCTATTGAACATTTCTATGAAAAGCTGTGATTTTTTCAAAATATGGTACTTTTCGCTACTATTAAAATGAAATGCTTATAACTCTTGAAGGATTGAACGAGAGCACGAAACGAATGGTTTTCAGATTCGTAATCAGCATCCTTAAATTAGCAAAGTGGGGTACATTGCTTTGAAATCTCAGGGAAACACCTGGGGACCTTCCCTCGTGAGAAAATCACAAAATTCAAAATCTTATTGAGCTAAGGCTCAACGCGCATTAGGCTATGCCCTCCCCTCCCCATGGTTACGCCATTGGATGACACCATACGCAGATCAACAATAACTAACCATTGATGATCTATCAAAAAACTGCTTTAAGAGGTTCTCTAGGGAATAAATAAATGTTTTTGGAGCGTTTTTTCACCTTGTCATTTTTAGACACTAATACCTTTCCAGGGTAAAAATAGTAAAAACGATGAAAAAAATTGTGTTAAATGGCAAAAAAATGTCGTTTAACGATCGGTTATAATTCATTAAAAAGCATTTAATATGTCGTTAATATGATAGATTTTGACGTCCTGGGCACAATGCGACTTATAGAATGTGTGTGTATGAAAAAAACACTGTATATTCGACTACGCATCTAACAGGTTGGACATGAATTAAACTAGACTATAAAAAGTTTGAGTCCATAACACAGATCTAAAAGGTATACAACGGTAACTGTTCATAATCGTGTTTGACTAACGGGATGAGTATATATACTCAAATTTTATTCAATTTATAAAAATATCATACCATTTGATAAATGAACAGTCTCATCGATGATGAGCGACCAATATTGATGGTTTCAACTATATCGCTTATTTATTGCTATTCATATAATATACATCGATTTCTATTTGTGGTGAAAACACCGATATTATCTCAACGATGGCTTTCATAGTCCTACTTAATAAATGAATTAATGATACAGAGGTGAACGAATTATCAAAATTTAGAACAATATGATATTTTTTAAACTCATTGAAATAGAACATGTTCAAATACATAGAATTTTTTAAACAGTTTTCTATCATCATTTACATCAACAAAAGAGTGACAAATTAATGAAAAAGTATTCTAGACGAAACGATTCAATTGCTAGGCTTATTTGAAACTGATCTAGACAGCCGAATAAGATGAGATTATAAAGTTTTTCTAAATATGAAATGTGTCCTTTTCTGTACGAAGTTCAGAATTACGAACATGGTATATGGCGGTGTCTATGACAAGTACAAATCAACAAATTCTTTTCCATCCTCAACAAGTAATTTTAAGTAAGCATATCTGTGAGATTTCAAATCTGCAGTGATCAACAGACGATCGCATGAACTTACTGGAAAAAGAAAGTAACAAAGATCAGTTGTCCATGTGTTATAGTATCATCTCTAACTGAATAAAACCAATATGGTGTTACTCCTGATCATTCATCACTCTATATTTATGGTAGTAGTCTATCTCTTCGTGAAAAGGAAATTATAATTTCCTGCCGAAAACAATAGGTCGAGAATTTATCACATGAAAAATATTATTTATGGTTACTTATGATATTGTTGTGTGTTAATGTTCACTTATTTAGTATAATACGAGTCTGTATATCTGTCTACTACTCGTTCATAGTCATTTATAGAAAAGAGCTAACAATACGAACAAGAACAATAAAAAACAATTCTATTGGACAAAATAAAAAACTTATACAAATTACAAGAAACAACGTCGAGTAAGGCAATTCTCTAGCAAACAGTTATAGAAATAACATTTGAGAACAAAAATTTTCCTGAGAATTCTATTCAAAGAAAAGAAAATACAAAATAACCGGGACTATGGATATGCAAAAATAAAACATTTACAAAGGAATTTCGATAAAAAATGAGATTTTGAAAGATGATTTGGCTCATAAAAGCAAATAATTATACATGATACTTTATTGTCACCTCATTGTTGCCATACTTTGACTCTGATGTTATGCTTGTTGACATACAATCATCTCTCTTTTCCCCGAATAGACATGATTCTTCATGAATTGTTCTCATGTATATTCAAACAAACACAATTCACTATTTTTAAACTTCGGTTTGAAAAAATGACGATAATTTAATTCGATTATTATCTGAAGTTACCAATGGTATATTACCTTCGCTACTATGCCTTAAACGAGTAGACATTAATGTCAATCGACTTGTTTCATCGATATTATTATTTTCTTCAACATCCTCTCCTTCATTACATCCAATTGTCCGACTGTTTCGTTTTGCTTTTAAACTATCTAAATTTCTTGGATTTATTCTCCATCCTCCATCACCATTCGTTGTTGAATTTGCGTTATGGAATAAACTTGTTGTCGAACCATTTGTTCCACTTTGTTGTTTTATATAACTCAATGTTGATTTTAATTCTGAAGGTAGAGTACCATTATTTGACGATATATCGGATGAATCAATACCGTTTAATAAGACTGACGGAGCAATATCAATAAACGTAGAATATGTCGATGGCAATGGCTTTAGAATTGATGTAGTTCTTACGTAGTGATTATGAGGTAATATATGAGACGATGGTGACAAGTTAACCGATTTATTCGATGACGGTATTAAGGTAGTACTAGTCAAACGGAAACGATTATCGGATGATAATAAATTTGCGTTCTTAATGTTACTGTTCTTGGCTAAAAATAATCCAGAAAGAGAGATTTAACATGACTTTTCTCAGGTAAACATAGTGTCCTATTATTACTCAGAAAGTGGTCCGTTAGTGGTACTGTTAATTGGTCGCTTTTAATCGAATCATTCAACTTGTTTTCTGCAAGTAGTAGCACATAGCGATTACTAATACTCTTAGAAAAACTCAGAAATTTTTCTTTTCTCGGACACTTAAGTAATAGACACTTGAACCACGAAGGATGACCTTTTTTCTACTCGATATAGTATCACAACACTAGAACAGACACTTTCGATAGTACCAAAATGTTAAAAAAATTATAGAAATATTTTAAGGTTAAAAATCAAAAGTAATTTTAGTTTCAGAAAATGTTTCAAAAAAGGCATCGAAAACAGACCATTTTTATTATCTTAAAAAACGCCTGTAGTTAAACGGTAAGAATGATGTAGAGAAGATTCAATTTTTTATTGTTGTTATACTTACTTTTTTTAACTTTAGCGTACAATGGTCTCTCCTGCTCATGTTTAAGTGATAATATTGTTTTATTTTCATCTTCGTCTACCTCATGTCCTTGTTCTTCAGTATTACTGTCATTTGACGACTGTGTTAATTCAATATCATTTTGTTCGGCTAATTTTTCTGTTAAACTAGACAGTGAATTTATTTTCACATTATAATCAATTAATGGATTTTTAGTGTCAATAAAATATTCTAAAATAATTCAAAAGAACATTTTATAAATATTCTTTAGTAATGTATTGTCAATAAACTTACTTTTAACGGGTGATACTTGAAACAAAAAAAAAAAAGAAGGAATTATTTCAAAAATAAGATTAAAATAAGACAAAAACGAAAATGAACTTACGATCAAGTTCTGTTTCATGGTCTAAGTTGTTAATCATTGAATTAACTAAGGGAATTCGCGTACTTTCTAACAAATAGTAAATTAATTTAAAAAAATAAATTTATAAAATATACATATAAAGTAGAGACCTACCATCTTCAATAACATTATAATGGAGAAAATTTTCTGGTAGAATATTTTTATTGTTATTATAGATCATTTTTCTGTTACCAATTGACCAATAGAGAGCCGATTTTGGATCACTCTAGAAGATATTAACATTTGTAACTGTTCTAAATTGGAAGACATTTTTTTTTGACATACTATGCGTCGATTTAGTGATTCACGTGATGAGGATCGTTTTTTTGCAATTAATTTTTCCGAAGGTGAATTCTAAACAATTTCATTGTTATTAGAACAAAATAACGAAATTATGATATGATTACCTTTTCATTGAAATTATTCATCTTTTTAAATGTTGTATTGTGTTCTTCATTGATCAGAGTATTTTCGGGACCATTTGTCACTGTTTCGACTTGTTGTTTTCCTACGCCAATATGTCCATTATTTAATTTCAACATTGTTTGTACTGGACTTTCAATTGTACATCTATCAGATGATGTTGTTGTCGTATTATTTAAAAGTAGTGGTGATGAAACAATTAATTTTTGTTTTTGAGCTGCTTTTCGACTCGGTTTTTGTTTCTGTTTATTATAACGATCTGATTTTCGACAATGAAATAATACGATAATTGATAAAGTAAATAAGAATAGTACAACACCAGTTGAGACAGTAATGAGAATATACTGAGGTGTAAAATAAGATGTTGATAAAAGAGCTGTTGAATGATTTAAACATGATTGAGAAGTGCAATTTGTTTCACTGCATAAGTAACTACCAATTGTATTTATACATATTGTATTAGATGGACATAAATTTTCATATTCTAAACATTCATTCACATCTTCTAAACCCAACTGATTAGACAATTCATGACTGGATACACATGTGTAAGCTACACTTCGTCCATAAGATTCATCAAACATTCTACTAAAATAGACAAAAACCGTGTTAAAGAGCACGCCTTTTCACATCGTCCCATTAGAGGTAGTACGGATGATATAAACGAATTTTTTTTGTGAAGATTTTTGAAAAAATAACAAGGCTACTTTCTCTAAATGTTTTTGATCCGACACTATTATCCGGTCGATTATTTTCTACAAAACAAAATACACTAAAGTTCGCGTTCTTCGTCGATAAAGCGAAGACATGGAAAATTATGAACAAGATCCAATTTTACTTTTAAAAAAAAACAAACGTTTATAATATTAAATATATGTAAAGACATATAAGACATATATGTAAAATGATATAGTACGTCTTTTCTATAGCTATTTCGTTCATTTTACCTTGCTGTTTTATTTTGTTGTTGTCTACAAATTCGTCGTTCTCCATCTTGACATGGTCTACTTTCACATGGTAATGTATCTAGTTGACATTGTTTACCGATGAAACGTTTTAAACATGTACATCTATAACTATTGAATGTTGGTGAACATTTTCCTCCATAATAACATGGATTTAATGAACATATTGAATGATCTAATTTTGAGCGTGGTTCCAATTCTAACGATAATTGACATCCATCATGTGTACCGATGTGAATGAGTTCTTTATCATTCTTCAACTGAATCAATTGTGAATTGAATGTGAAATTTCCTAAACATCCATGAAATCCATCACCAAGATCAGAACCAATTGTTAATTCATTCACAGCATAGAACGTGAAAAGTAATGAGGATGGTATCTTGTATAAATCATTGAAAACATGATCAAGTCGAATTAATATTAGTTTAAAATCAATAAATAACTGAATATCATGCCATAAACCATCGTTACATTGAATCGATGATAATTTCATGATTTGTTTAGAATTATAGTTTATACTTATATGACCATCAATAATCTCAAAATATAAGAGAATAAATAACTAACAACAATAAAAAAAAAAAAAATTTTTTTTTACAGTAAATACTTACATTAACGCCAAGTGTGAATGAGTTTGTTGTAATTTTCATTAGAATAGCTTGTGGTATCTGTGTTCGAAAGGTAAACGTTGCATTTATCATAGGCATTGTCTGATTCAATTTCCATCGTACATAACTATAACCATCGAATGTTAATAAATTTGAAGAATCTAGAAGATAAATATTCAAGTATTTTTTCGTGTATAGTACGAAAATATGTTTTGTATACCTCTACATGTAGGAGAATTGATATTAATACATTCTTTGTTCATATTTTCATCTAATAAATCATCACTATTTTTCATAGTAATACATGGTTCATCGATACACTCACACTCGTATGAATCATTTAATTCTATACATCTTTCATTGGAAGAACATGGATTTGAAAAACAGTGTTTTTGATAAATATCACAACGAGATCCTTAAACAATACAATATAAAAATAACAAAATATTTATTTTAAATAAAAAATAAAATTTATACATACCGATATAATGTGGTGTACATAAACATTGATATTTCCATTTATATTTTGGCATTAATAAATTGTATATTTCATCTGTATTCATTTCATATAAATAATAACTATCTTGAATTAATTGTATTTTACTTAAACAATTTCCATTATTTTTACATGTTTCACTTGTACATTGAGACGTCGTTATTGAATGAATTACTTTTATTTGAGATGATCGAATAATTAAATCACTATTGTTTCTAATTACATTGAATAGTAATTTTTTATGTAAATAGCGAAGAGAATAAGATTGTTTTGTTGATACACGTGTTTGATGACGTGCAATTGAAATTAAAAGTTCAATTGATTTGATTTTATCTTCATTTATTTTTTGATACGAATAGATTGTTGAGTTATTTTTAATGAAATTAGTTCCATCATCTAAATCATAGTCATAATCATCACCATAATGTAAATTGTCATTGAGACGACTAAAATAAATTAATAATAAAAACTATTTGTCATACTCTCTTTGAAGTAGACATGCACCGAGTAATTGACGAAGGATTTTATATTTTTTCCAAAACCTAGCGTTTCCTAAATTGCTTGGTTAAAAGTTTTCTAACTCGGTAAGAACATAGAACAAACATTTCTCTAAAAAATGAGAGGTTGGACAGCTCTGTACGATTTGTTTGAGATCTTAGCAGCGATGTCTCCATAAGGGACTAATCGAGGGACTAATTTTAGAGAAATATTTGCTCTATATTCTTATCGAGTCAGAAAACTTTTAACCAAGCAATTTAGGAAACGCCAGGCTTTGGAAAAAATGTGAAATCCTTCGTCAATTACTCGGCCTACCTAAATATACCTAATACCTTACTATGCCTACTTTAAAGATCAAAGATGAAAACTTTAATTGTCAAACTTAATTGTTTTACAGATAAATCATTTACATGATGATGTTATGTGTATTTATTATCATAATACCTTACCTAGAATATTTATGATTATTCTGTTCTTCGTCTTTTTCCTGTTGTTGTATAGCATATATGTAAACATATTTCAAATTAACGCCAAATATATAAGCCAATGTTGACTTTAATTTCTGTAAACCATTTAGAAAAAATTGTTCATAATGATAAGGTTGAATCGTGAAAGATATTGAACGTTCGAGCATTTCTTTTTCGATTGACCACAAACGAATATCAACATGATTTACGATAAATGATGATTTTGTTTCGTGATTTAAATAGTTCGAAAATGCAGATGTATTCAACATTATTGAATCAATATTTTTATCGGTACTATTAAAAACTAAAGAAAGAAATATATTGCAATGAAAGTCATTAATAGAATCTAGTATATAGTAGTCATTAATAGTATGGAAATTCAATAATGTTATTATTTTTAAAGTAGAAATAGAAACAAACCTTGTTTTTTTAATCCTATTACAATTATGTTCGCTGTCAATATCAATGGCCTAGAATTTTGAGTCTGTTGTGTTGGTATATTTAAATTTATCCACAATTCTGTTTGATTATTGGATATTGTATTTAAATAAAAGTATTTTTGTTGGTATTGATCTAATTCAAAATATAAATAATCGTACAAATGACTATCTTTTACTTTTAACTGTCCTAAATTAATCATTGTGGTTGTTTGTGTTGAAATATAACCATCGATTCTTTTTGTTAATAATTTTGGTTTTTCAAGCATACGTTTTGAAAATATCAATGTCAATACTACATCCGAATAAAATTGATGTAAATCAGAAACTCGTACCGTTATCTGACATTGTTTATCTTCAAAAATATTTTTTATAAGTACTAGTTGATTTGAATGTTGAATTTCAAATAGTTTGTCACTATTACCAGATAAAATCTGAAATATTTCTTCCGTTGTTCCATCTTTATCACTAGCTAAAAAAATTGAACTATTATTAAGCACCGTTCAGTAACGCTTCATTTAACAATCGCACGTATGACCTTTTTTTCAACAACAGACGTTTCTTATTATTTTCTTATGCTTGTTTTCATTATTCAAAATATCTTTTTGTCCAAAACAAAAGAAGATTTTTTTTCCAAGAGATGATTTGTTTGTTCATCAGTCAATGTAGTTTGACGCTCACTCATTCCGAATATATTTATAATAGGATTATCTAACAAAATTATCTTAATTCTCATTGTGAGTCGGAAACGGACAACGATTCACCCAAGCAAAAATGACTCAATTTCTTGACTTACTT